ACCAGACAGACATCTGTCCAATGTTTACATTCAAACCACGTAAGGATTCATGCCCCTCTCTTTCAGCACGAATTGCCTGCCAAGTGTGCGCCAAGACATAATTTTCGCAGTTCATTTGAAGAATGGCAGGCACCTGAATTGCATGCACAAGTTTTAATATTTGGTATTCATTGGAAGTTGACAGTCCAGAGCTGTGCAGTTATATCTCTCAAGGTTATAATATCTCTCAAGGCCAATAGCTACATACTCATGAGAGCATATTGTTTGAGCTGGTATATCACAGCCCGATTGTTGGTTGAGCTTATAATATTGTTCATCTCTCAGCCTAATATTCGTGCTGTAAATTTATGCCCATTGCAACCATCTTGACATCCACACAACTTCTGAACCGAAGCACGGAGCCTGGCATAGTGCAAATATATGGTGGCACACAGAGTCAAAGCTGGCAGGTTGTACGATAGCCTTATTCGCTGACCCACGCAGCGGCAGCAGCGAGCTGGAAGCTGAAGTTGTCATGTATTCGTGCAGGAGTAGACTTTAAATAACTGTCTTGACCAAAGCGTCAAGTTAAAACGTGGCAGATTTATTTCTGCTCTGCCTACATTCAGTTCAGCTATTAAATCTGCATCTTAAGTTCACTGGCCAGGAGGACTCCCTACCAAACAGTGCCTGCACCACTTGCTGTAAAAATGCATCGTCAAGACGCATAAATATCCTTACTGAATGCTGTGGCGTCATAAAAAGTCTCAACTTTACGAAAATTAAACTTCCTGTGAGACCCAGCATTTTATATTGAGTGCATTACTTGCAATAAGCCTTACATGTGTATAATTAGTAGTTTTTATTTCAGTTCGGTTTCCCCGCCACTGCGGTTTAGTGGCTAAGGTACTCGGCTGCTGACCCGTAGGTCGTGGTATTGAATCCAGGCTGCGGCGGCTGCATTTTCGATGGAGGCGAAAAGTGTTGTAGGCCCATGTTCTCAGATTTGGGTGCAGGTTAAAGAACCCCAGGTGGTCGAAATTTCTGGAGCACTTCACTACGGCGTCTCTCATTATCATATGGTGGTTTTGGGATATTATACCCCACATATCAATCCATCATTATTTCAGTTAGGTTATTCTACAAAAAAAAAAAGTGTACTGGGATATTATGCCAACTGTCCCAGTCTTGGCGTCTGACCATCTGTGATTTACTTTTAAAAATTGGACTATCTACCTAAAGCAAAAAGACTTCAGCCAGAACATTTTGTGTGAAAAAAGCAAAAATCAGTTGTAAGCGGCATGTAAACTTTTTCAGAAAGCTCAAAACCACACCTTGTGAAGTGCATTGCCAAAAAAAAAAAAGGTCTTTTTCTTAAATTCGGTTAGAACAAGTTTTTTACCTTATAATGGTGGTAGGTTTTTTACTTACAATGTTTTACACACTTCTACGTTTTTGTGGGTTTTATGCGGCCTTGAATACAGAAAATAGAGTCCATATTGGTGATATTTTAACAGAGATAATTTTCAGAAAAAAGTAATAGTTTGCATTAGTGTAATGCCAGAAACTTTTATTGCATAATAAAAATGATTTTATCTTTCTATGAAAAAATGTCCAATACAGTATAAACTACTGGCTGCATTTGAGGCTGCATAGACAAAACACCGAAATTAAAAATTTACTAAATGTTACATTAAATAAAGGCCTACCATAATTTTAAAAGGCAAAGTTTGTCTTGACCTAATATGAGAATAACGGGTTTCTCTACAATGCGTTTTACGAGCCACAGTTTGGAGCTTTCCCAAAAAGTTTGCATGTGACTTATAGGAGATAAAAAGTTTCTTTGCTGAAAAAATTTTTGGGGAAGGCTTGTCATTTTAAGTAGATAGTTATGAACTTTTCTTAAAGCAAATCGCAGATGGTAAATGCTAAGATTAGGACAGCTAGCATAGAATTTCTCACTGCTATATGTTCCAACTTGCAGGAGATTTCATTCACTGAATTCACGTTTTCATTCTATAGAACATTTATCAACAATCACAGCTGCTGCCCATGGCAAAAGCACAACAATGCTCTGTCCCAGTGTGTTGGCTGTGGTGCATATCGACTTCAAATAAAGTTCATCTCAGAGTCTGAATAAAATGCAAGGCCTTGTTCTACAAATTTGCACTAAATCTGAAACGCTCTATGCCACTTATTTGCTGAAACTTCTATCTTATAAGCTGTCAATTAACGAAAATAAGTCTGCCCATAAAGCGTGACGGTAGGTTTGAACACCTACGTTTTATTGAGAGCACAGTAAGCATCACGGTAGTTCTTTTCAATCATAAAAATTGTCATGGAAAACTTGTGCTGCTTCAGGGCAAGCCCTACTGAATAACTAACAATTGTACTGCGGGGAAATTCCGGGGTACTTGATATGTCAGAGAAAGTGAGGATTTGTCGGGTAATCCAGCATTTAGGGCATTATATGTATGCATATATTCGTTTGGTTGAACATGGTAAAACTACTCCCGCCTGTTGACTGACAAAGTTGGGCTGGAAGAATGTGTGACAGGCTCCCCAGAGGCTGATCTGCTGCTTCAGAACAAGGTTTTTAACTGCCCCAGGAGCTGCGGCCGATCACACGTTGAAGCAGTTGTGGTTCATAGTGCAAAAAGACCCAAGCGCTGTCTTTCCAGTGAATGTTTATGCCCACGAAAATAAGTATACCAGCTGTGCTAAGTAGGAAGTGTGCAGAAACTGTGTGTGGATTAATGTGCTCCTTTTAAGGTCTGCTCTCATTCATACTTTCATGGTGGCTGCTACACTGCCTTTTTCCTACACGGCAATTGTGACAAAACATCCAGAGCAGGGCATTTATAGGCGATCCATATTAAAGAGATTGCACAGTCATGCGACTTTCTTACTAATGAGATTTTACTTTCCTGAATAATGCCTAATATTGCCACTCATACCTATTTATTCAATTCATCATTATTCTTGATGAGTTTTTGTAACGGCTGGTATACTTATATTCATTCTTGAAACAGTTTTAGTGCAGTGCTTATGTTTATGTGCTTCCCAATAAGCGTGCAGATGAAACCATATCTAAAACGGGGCAAAATAAATGCAGACAGCTGGACACTAGACTAGCAATGGCTGCCGACGGCTTTGGTTTATTGTGAGAATGGCAACTGACACGGTGCACACGCGTAGAAAGGGGAATTTATCTACACTTCTAGGGAGGAATGTATCAGGTAAGGAAGTTTGTTTAGTTAAAAAAAAAAAATTACTTTCGAACATCAGACTATGTGTGAAGTTTTCGAAGTATTTGATATGAAGTCTAAAGATACTACTAGGTGCTGCAATGGTATTGAAAGTTGGGCTAGTTCGTTCAGATGCCTTATTGGTTGCAGCGCAAAATCGACAAAGACGGAAGGGACACAGAAGAGTGCTGTCTCTGTACCATTCGCCTTCTGTCTTTGTCGATCTCGCACTGTAACCAAAAATGCTACTAGGTGTGTTAGCACACCTTCATTAAGCCCCGCCGCGGTGGTCTAGTGGCTAAGGTACTCGGCTGCTGACGCGCAGGTTGCGGGTTCAAATCCCGGCTGCGGCGGCTGCATTTCCGATGGAGGCGGAAATGTTGTAGGCCCGTGTGCTCAGATTTGGGTGCACATTAAAGAACCCCAGGTGCCAATGGAGGGCTCCGGAAATTTCGACCACACCAGGTGGTCGAAATTTCCGGAGCCCTCCACTACGGCGTCTCTCATAATCATATGGTGGTTTTGGGACGTTAAACCCCACATATCAATCAATCATCAACACCTTCATTAAACTCATACTAGGAATGTAAACATCTCTGCAACTTTTGCTTTCCCCTAGAAGTTTTGATAATTTTCCCCTCCCTTATGAGCACCCTTTGAAGGTGTATTCTCACTATGAATCGAACGAGTTGACAGCCAGTGCTAGTCTAGTGTCCACTTTTGTCCACGTTTACTTTGTGCTGTCTTGCCTGTGGATGCTTACCGCTTGACTTGCACTATTCGATTAAGGAGGGCCCTCGTATCTGCTGTTCTCATCCTTTGACTTTGAGTGCAATCCTACTCTCCATCCTCTAAAGGGACACCAAAGTGAAACAATGAATTGGTTTAGACCGATTAAGTGTGCTCTAATGTCATTATTCTTACCATTATAGGTTCATTATTAGAGGAGAATCAAGGGCAACGTACCATTTTTAAATTCTACATGCGTGAAATCACAAATTCCGAAGTGTATTTCTTGTATTTTGCCAACAATGGCTCGACAAAATTTCGCAAAGCCTGGTATGTCAGGTCCCTATCAGCCGACATTACCTATGAGGAGCTGCATAGGCCTATCTGAACACTATCAAAATTTATGAGATCACAGCATTTGATACACGAACTTTAATCTGGGGTTGCTGTCGCCACCAAGCGTCTTCTTAGGCGAGTGTGGTGATTTTGGAATTGTTAAAGGGTAATTTACCAATAATAGAAAAATATCTGTCCTCTTTCATGTCCCTCTATGCAGTCAGCGTAGCACACTCCTTGCGGTGTGAAACATTCTGCACTAATAAAGCCTTAAAGTTGCTCGAGCTACATTAGCAGAAATATAAATTACTTGTATCAATTGAAAAACTACGATTTTCATTCTGTATTTGCTCGTAGTAGTGTCTGACTGGCTTGCATTGCCTCGGTAAAGACCAATATCAGTAATCTAGCTTTCTACAGCAGATGGACAGCTAGATTATATACCTTATATACTCTCCTTGGCTTTCTTGTCTGTTAGCTCTAGTTAATGTTGTGTTTTACAAAAAGAAAAGGGTACTTAATATTCTTTTTCATTTGTTTCTCTTGCAGGAAAATTCTCATTTTAAGAAGTTTTCTCAGCAGCTTAAGTTTCAGTACTGCTTTTTGAGCTTGTAATAATTTGGTGCATTGTTTCATACAGTGTGAATTCACTACATTTGTCAGTGTGTGACTGCAGCCTGATTTGGAGTTGCTCATATTTGTTGCCAGCATGGAGGAGCAAAAGCACACTGCTGTGGGGGAGGAGGAAGACCTGGCTCCGGGCGCATCCTTCGGTGAGCTAGGTGAGGATGGACTGCCGCTGGAACGATGGCTCAACGACGATGAAGGTCCGCTGGTGTTTTACCGCGTAAACTCGCAGGTAGGCATTCGTCGACAGGCCAGGCCATCGAGTGAACCACAGGCGTGCTGCGCTGCACTTTACACTGGTTATGTACTTTGGTGAGGACGCAGTGCAGTGCCCATAGGAACATTATGGGGGACAGTGGCATAAAACTGAAATGCGCCCTTCATTCAATTGCTAGGTATGTACAAGACTTATTGGCCAAATGTGAATGGTGGAGCTTATATTAATTCAAGGGCAAACGAAAGCTCAACACTTCATTACATCTATATTACTGTGATCTATACCACCCTAAGTAACGATGAAGTAATCCAGGAAAAGGTTTAGAAAGCTAGATGGCTAATTTTGAATATCTTTAATGTGAGCTTTGTGGTAATTAGTATAGAGAACTCTTTCTGACTCTGCCAGCAGCTGAATTTTTCAATTAAAAAAAGAGGGCTCAAGGTCACTGTGACCAGGCGGGTTCAATAAAATCTGAGACCATATTCTCATGCGTGTTTGTAAGCTTTTTTTATGTATTCAGGTTTCAGCTACAAAAAACATGTTGGCAACACTTGGCACAGATCGCACTGCAAAGTTTGGGAAGCTTCGGGATTTTTTAGGATTGCGCAAATAGCGGAGTTCATTTAAGAGCTTACATAAGCATGAGCGATAAGGCTGGAAGGTTTATACGCTGACTGCTTTCTAAAAAAACAGCGTGCTCTGCCACATGACCAGCTTATCGACAGCTTATGCTAGCATTTTCCAATGTACAGCGTTTATCGTTTGTACCGGGACCCCTTATTTTCTAGGTACAAGTTCGCCCTCACACCTTTGGCTTCCTTCGTCAATGTTAGAACCATGTCACAATGAGTGCAGTTCTTTAGTACATGGTCTGGTAATTTTGCAGCATTCTTGGTTAATCTGGCAGGTTGCGAAACAGTTTAAGGCAGAGAAAATACTGAAGAGAGGTTCCTGATGTGAAAACTTTCGAAAGAAAATACTTACCGTAAAAACCAAAATATAGGTCGGATCGAAATATAGGCAGACTCCCCAAACTTTATTTCTCTGAGAAAGAAAATATTAAAAATAGCAAAGTATCGCTGCCTTGGCTAAAATGCGACAGAACTAACTGCACTTTGATGACATTTCTTTTTATTTTAACACTAATCTTATGTCAGAAGGCCACGAAGTGCTGTCACTCAGACTCGTTCGAACTTGATTCCAAACTTGAGTCCGACGACGTCTGTTTTTCACTTGTAACGTTCCAAAGTGCATCGTCCTCTGCTCTATACAATGCGTTACTGATGCAGCATTTGCGGAAAGACGGAAGTACACCGCCTCAGACGCAAAGCTCTTTCGCTTCATAAATTGGGGCACCTACGATGACGATTCCTTAAATGGCACTCTCGTGAGCGAAGAGTCGTGTGCTATCTTGAGAGCTTTCATGGGGATGCTCTCAGCTGTTACAGGTAGCGACCTTGCAAGCAGATCCCGGACAGGTTCGGCGAGTAGCGTTTTCAGTTTGAGGCACACTGCAATCTGTCTACGAAAGAATGTTTCTTCTTGGTTGCTGCAGAATGTGATACGCTGCTTTTGGCTCCTTCAGTATCAGACATTTTTCTTGGATGCACTGAGTTATTGTTGTGCCTCCAGGTTGTTGTGCGCTTCGGCATACTCGATAACTTTTTTCTTAAAGCCTATTGTAAACTGCCGTCGACTATCACTAATTTCTGAAGAAAATAGAAATAACAAAACAGATTAACAGCAGATAATCGAGGCAAAATGGCGTTGCTAGAACACGGTAGGCCTTGCCTAGCCTTGTTCAACGGCGCTGCTGCTGATGGTCACGATGCCAATAGAAGCTTGAGACTTCAGCTGCCCATTGTTGCGAGACTTCCGCATCTTTTTCTTCCAATGACCGGTATAAAACGAGAGTCAACTTTTCATTGCGTTTTTTTTTTAGTTCAAGCTGTATTCAATTTTTTTTTGCACAGTTCTAGAGGATGAGAAGACCAGTAAATGTTGAGACAATTAGTCTCTCAGTAGAAAAATTAGTGTTAGGATGATACGTTGGTATCAATAGTGTCGTGTAAATAAGCAATTAAGCTTACTGCATTATTGGCTGGGCGATAGCATACCCCAAGCACAAAACCTTTGTGGCAAAAGGGTGTCTTGATGGGTCAGTTGGTGCATGATACAGCGTGGAAACAGTGCGAAAAGGGGACATGTGAAGGTACTTACACAAGCGTTCACAAACAACCAGCATAAGTTTCCTGATTTGGTGGCAGATATAAGCACATGCGCACACCACTTCAAGGAATGTTTGAACTGGAAGATGTTAAGACAGAATAATTCTTTAGGTAGCCAGCATGCCCGCAGGGGCGCCTGCGCAAGTAGGCGTTTGGTGTGTAGCGACACCACGAACCCGAGCTAACGGGGGAGTTTTGACTCCCTCCCACGCCTAGCCGTGCGTGGCTTTGCCGTGTCCGGGGAAAAGGGGATCCTGGGGGTTGAGGCGACGCTGGGTGATTGGACCTTTAAGGCCCCCCGGCAGAGGCAACACACCCCTTTGGCCCCGGCTTCACGTAGACGGCACCCCTGGGCTGACCCACCCAGGGGAAATCGGCAGTCGCCTTTTCCTATCTCTCTCTTCCTACATCTTCGTCTTTATCTCTTACTATTTATCTGTCCTGTCTTCTCCTCTCTTCTGTTTACTTCCAAACTTCCTGGCGGCTAGGGTTAACCCTGTGCAAATAGCCTACCTTGGTCTAGGCGCATTGGGTTATAGTAGCGTTGTACGGCTGGCGTCTGCAGGTTTTAGCACCCGCAAACTTGTAGCGTCCCCTCGTTGGGCTCCGTGGTGGGTGGCCGCCAACGCTACTGAACAACATACAATTAGCATGCACAAAGCATTCCCTTTACTAAGTGATCGTGCCTCCTCAAAGCGGGTACGCACCGAAGATATCAATTTTTTCATCCGGCCAAGACAAACCTTTCCTCATTTCCACGTTATACACTGTGAAAAAACTAACAAGCAAGCCAGAACAGTATCCCCCTTCGTAGTGGCTAGGTCTTTAACCGAAACTCTTGGTGCCGGGTACTAGGTTACCAAAATGGCCAGTGGAGATCTACTCCTTGAAATACGTGACAAAGACCAATTCGATAAACTGAACACCCTCACAACGTTTGGAGACACACCCATCAGTATTACGCCACACAGGTCCATGAACTCATCTCGCGGGGTCGTATCGGACGCAGATTTGCTTGACCTGACCGAAGCTGAACTTCTTGAAGGATGGAAGAGCCAGAACGTGACAAACGTACAGCGTATTAAGATAAGAAGAGATCCAAAGGAAATACCAACAAAACACTTAGTACTGACCTTTGCTTCGAGCGATTTGCCGGAAACAATTCAGACTGGGTATACAAAGACATCTGTGAGGCCATATATTCCCAACCCCCGCCGTTGCTTCCAATGTCAGAGATATGGCCACGGCTCGCAAAGCTGTCGTGGCCAGAAAACTTGTGCTCTGTGTGGAGTCGTGGGCCATGCGTCCGACAACTGCGAAGCACCTGCACACTGTGTGAATTGTGGCGGTAGTCATGCCGCGTACTCACGTTCCTGTTCTTTCTGGAAAAAAGAAAAAGAGATCATCACTTTAAAAATAAAAGAAAACATTACATTTAAAGAAGCAAGAAAAATAGTCTCGACATTTTATGGCCCCACATATGCTGATGCGGCGCGCCAGGGGGCAGTGTCGCACCAGCCCTCGCCACTCCTTCGGCCTGCGCAGAGCGAGCCATTGGCTGTGGCGCCTGCCCCCAAGGCGGCAGTAGTTGAGTCTACTCCGCCTACTATCGAACAGAGACCAGGGACTCCAGGGTCCTCGGGTCTCAAGGCCTCACCACGCCAGGCGAGGCCCAAGCTTCGAAAAACCAGCTCGCATGAGCGGGCATCCAGTGCCTCCGAGGAGGCAATGGATACGGCGGCACCCCTGGTGCCAAAAGAGCGGCGCGGCTCTCTGGAGCGCGCCAAGAAAACTAAAAAGCTCATAACAGGGCCTGACAATAGCCCTGCTACTTGAGCTCGACCTTTCAGCTTAAACAAGTCACTTCCTTAACGTACACACAGCACTACTTTACTTCCAATATGAAAACACAAATTATACATTGGAACGTCAGAGGCCTGCTTAAAAACCTCGACGACGTCCAAGAGCTTTTATACAAACACTCACCTCAAGTGCTGTGTGTACAGGAAACACATCTGAAATCCTCCAATACAAATTTTTTACGTGCTTACGTCATATACCGAAAGGACCGAGATGATGCTGTGGCGTCATCCGGTGGCGTAGCCATTATTATTAACCAAGGAGTAGCGTGTACACATTTACCACTCCAGACATCCCTTGAGGCGGTGGCTGTTCGAGCAGTACTTTTAAACAAACTCGTCACCATCTGCTCTTTGTATGTACCTCCCCACCACCGTCTTGAAAGACGTGAATTTCAGTCTTTAATAGACGAACTGCCTGAACCCTATTTGCTTCTTGGGGACCTAAATGCACATAGTGGACTGTGGGGCGATTCTCGCTCTGATGCACGAGGTCATCTCATTGAACAATTTCTCTTCTCTTCCAGTGCCTGTTTGTTGAATAGGAAAGAGCCAACATACTATAACGTTGCCAACAAAACTTGCTCGTCTATAGGCCTCAGCATCGTATCACCTTCACTCCTACCCCTACTGAAATGGAAAATCATAAATAATCTATATGGAAGTGACCATTTTCCTGTAGTGTTGAGTTCACAAACAACATATGAATGTCCTCTACATGTTCCCAAATGGCTGATAAACAAAGCAGACTGGGAACAGTTCCACAACACTACACGTTTGAGTTGGACAGACATATGTAGGTTAAACATAGATGAAGCTGTGAAGTACTTCACAGCTTTTCTAACTGACGCAGCAGCCAGGTGCATACCGCAAACATCTGGAATGCCCGGCAAACGACACGTCCCATGGTGGAACACGGAGTGTCGTA